TGAAGCCGATGATAGAAGAGCTAAGAGAAAAGCAGCAATGAACAAAGCAACGTGTGTTCCAGTGGCATGTGTCTTCGCGTGCAGTGGATGCGGCCGTGTCTGCCGTTCTAGAATTGGGCTTTTTAGCCACGAGAGAAAGTGTTTGTCGCAATTGCGCTAGTCATGGACATGGTCCGATGACTGCCTACTACTACTACTACTACTACTACTACTACTACTACTACTACTACTACTACTACTACTACTACTGTGTTAAAAAATTCACCTGTATTGGGGGGGTCATGGAAAAAATTACACGACTGAGGGGGCTCATGCAACTTTTTAATGAAAGTTAAAAAAATCCCACCAGACCCCCACCCCCCCACCTCGTAAAAAATGAACGGTCCCTAAAAGCGGAGCTTCCAAGTTCGTCATATTAATGATAACATAAAAGATGTACATTTGCCAAGACTCACCTGAGACACCCCTCCCTTCGTTTTGATAGTCTCCCCTACCCTACCCGTGCAATCTGAAGGCGCGTACCTCCGTACGCTCGATCAGTCATGTGACAACCAAAGAAAAAGAGGTTGACCATATTCCATGGGTATGGGGCTCTGCTCCACGCGCGCTTAGCGCGCGTGGGAGCTCCGCTATGAAATCAGTCCCATCGTTCCAAGCGGTCTACATGTTATTTCACACCGAGCGAAGCTCTAATACTGTTATTTTATACTTTCTGACGAGTAAATTCTATTCCGTTCTCTTTGTATCATGGGATAAATACCGCGTTACGTTCTTATCAGCCTTTTCTTGAGTCAGAGAACCAGAATTTAACTGCTACCGAAAGGATTCACAGAAACTTGCATTAGCAAAGTCGAAGAATGTCGTGGGTTCTCGAACTTGCTCAAGCTGGAAGGAATTTGACCGGTTTGCCGGGAGCTTGGAGGTGCACTGGTCGAAACAACGAAGAGATGGTAGATAAGCTAGTACATATGGGTGTTATAAGCAGCAAAGAAGTAGAGGAGGCGTTCCGAACGGTTCCTAGAGGGGCCTTCGTCCCCCCAGACTTACAGCTGGAAGCTTACATTGATTCACCTCTGGTCGGAGACCCACACGTACATATGTCTGCACCACATATGTACGCTACTGTCCTAGAAGCCCTTGATTTGTCTCCAGGTGAGAAGTTTTACTTCTAATTTTGTGTGTGCGTGAGTTTGTGCCTGAAACGACTCTTTCCTCATCGATTTCAGTAGAATTACGTAATTGTGTGCCGTCTGAACAATGAAAGTTAAGTCTCTTTTGATGACTAACCATCACGTAAATAATTGAGATATTATCTTCCTTTCGACATTCCACTTTCAGTTTCGTAAGTTTTGCTGCGACAAAAGTTTCTTTTTTTATATTTTTGGTAGAAGAGATATTTTTTATGATTAGATCTCATTGTATCTGAGATTAATTAACAAACAGAATCTTACACAGGACATTTTTATTTTATTTACGTACAAGCACCAGTCTAATTGGTATTTCCTGACAGGAATCAAGGTTGAACCGGTGTGAATGCCCCAGTTTTTCTAATTTCCGAGTTATATACCTATTTTTTATTACCTTTTACGGTTTACACTTTTTAATTTAATGCTGGGTATTTACATACGGCTAAACCAAAAATGACCATCAGCCAGTAATGTGATGCGTTTTTTCCACGGTATGGATCTGTTTCTGTCCAGGCAAGGGTTTAACTTACAACCCCTTATCTTAGAGAAAAGTACTCTCTATCAAGTCGGTTAAATTCTTTGAATTGGGAGATTGTTAGAAATTAGTTGAATGAAGATGCACAGATTGTCACGGTCTGTTGAGTGTAAAATCACTTTATGTATGAGACAAAAGGCAGGTTTATTCCTCCCCCCTTGGGCAATGACTTCTGCAAAATGAAGTTCTGTCATTTACCTTATCAGATGGTAGAAGGTCACTGAATGCATTTAAAATATTTTCTGCTGAAGAATAGAATCCAATGGGCGGGTTATTTAAACAAAGTAATGTTAGCTGTTGTTAAACAAAACCGTGTTCTAAGCCATCTTCAGTTAAGCCAAACCTTTTATTTGAACTTGTATTCTTGTGAACAGTGTCAAGAGGGCAAAAAGCTATTAGTGGAAGGACAACCACTCTTAATTAAATCAACCCTTATATATACCATCCCTGAGGCCCTCTGTTTGGGTAAATTGTAGTCGAAATCTACAAATCCAAGAAATTCGCACCTTTACTAGCGATTCGCTAAAAGCCAATGTACATAAACAAGTTAAATATACAGAACAGGAAAACAAAACGAAATACAAATAAGACAGGCAAATTGACAGACAAAATAACGAAACTTACAAGATTATGTGGCGACTATGACGACTAAAACATAATGACAACAGCGACAAGAAAACTACGGTAGAAGAAGCTATACCAAACAATAGGAACAATGTATAAAAAATGAACACGAAAATATGAAATGTGACGTAACCAAAAATGACTGGCGAACCTAATAAAATAACAAATATGCACGAAACAACCGAAAATGGAAAGCACTGTTCAAAAGGTGTTAAATTGTAACCGAAGGTGAGGCGTCGTGACTATAGGTAAAACCACTGTTAGGGTTAGCCCCTATGCGATAAGTCCACCCAGTGCTAAAATACAGATCTTTCTATCAGCTCCATCTCACAGTTAACCTCATGATTGCTAATAATGATAGTTCTCTGTTTAAACCACTTGAAACATTTTTCAAATACTTTATAATTTTCCTGTCATTGTGTTCTGATGCATACTACTAGTATACTTGGTAAACAAATTTTCTTTAATTTTATTTATATCTTCACCAGGCTTGTCATTCCTCAATATTGGTAGTGGTACTGGTTATTTCTCCTGCCTAGCAGGCTATATTCTGCAAGCCCATGGTGTCAGTCATGGAATTGAACTTCACGAGGATCTTGTACAATTTGCAAAGGATAGAGTGGAGGAATACTTTCGCTTCTGTCCTTCTGTAGCGTATGACATTTGTCCTCCCAAGTTTATAGCTGGAAACTGTTTTCGGTTGGATCCAGTCGGATGTAGTTATGACAGGGTCTATTGTGGGGCAGCTTGTCCACCCAATAAAGTTTCATTCATTTTGGGATTGATCAAAATTGGTGGCTTTGTAATACTTCCTTGTAGAGATCGGGTATGGCTTTTGAGAATTTTTTAGCCTGATAGAGAGACTAAAACACAGGATGAAAAATTGAAAACAGAATGAAAACCATCTCAAGAATTATGAACTGGAGCCAAACTTAGTTCTCAGCTGACATATTTTGTAAATTTGCAAATATAGCTATACATGTGCAGTGTAAACTTTTTTTGCTTCCAAGAACTTATTGGCAATCCTCCTTACTTTCTGCCTCATAATTCTTGTGATGTTAATCTGAAGAATTTGGTATTGGATCAACTAATAACCCTCCAATTTATACTGTTCTTTATTTTCATCACTTTTTTTCTTGATATTGTTATGATCTTGTAAGGAGAAATTCCATCTTGGTCACTCATGGAAGTTAAAGGGTTAATTGTGACAAGGGAATGCAGTGGAACAGTGAAGAAACAAAACCAAGAGAAACTATCACTATGATTTGTAGCAATTTCATTTTAATATGGGGTTTCTAAAGATTATGAATGAAATTGAGCCCAAAACAAGCCATGAAGGGTAATTGATATACTGCCAAACAAATTATGCATTTCCCCCCCCCTTCTTATAAGACAGGGCCTTAAAACAAAATCACATACTAGAAGAGCAGTTTTTTTTAACTATGTAGTTCCATGTACCAAACTAAGCATGTGTTGATTGTTCAGCGTTTGAGCATAGTAGCTTGGAATCTGAGGTTCTCTTCCTCTTGGGAAGTTCTCTTGTCTTTTTACCATGCTTGTGACAACACAACCAAACATCTCTTTCTATTTCACTACAGAACGCAAAATTAACCATTTTTGTTTTTCTATACATAACTTTGTTCAGTTTCATATTTCTCTTCCTTTAGTTGCTGAAGATTGAAAGGATTTCGGACACTGGAGTAAAACAGACTTGTATCAGTGAGGTATCATTTGCCCCTCTGGTGATGATGCCTGACAGCGAGTCTGATGCTCCTAAGCTTAACTTTCCAAAGGAAAATCCAAGAAGTAAACCAAAGGTTTGTACAAGTAAAATTGCACCACGTATTCTGATGTACCTGTTAACATTTAACTCCCAAAACCTGATGTTAGTTCTCCCCTCTAGCATACATAGGTTAATTGACCACTCTCCATAGGGGCTTTTCAGGGCCGACACCCACCCATCCCACCCAGGGGAGGACATCCACCACACAGTAATCTCGTGTGTGGGAAGTTAACATCTCCTACCCCTAACCCTGCAGGAGACGGGGCCTATGGTTCATTCATCGTTATCCGAGAAGACCAGAATATCTATCCAATTCTTGATTATAGAAAGCTAGCAAATTCTCCTCACTTATTTTAAGACCATGAGTATTGGTCTAATAGCAACTAAACGATTCCTTGCTAACTGGTTACGAGGAAGAGAAAAACAAAATGATTCTGCATAGATCACAAGTAGTCAGAACTCATACTGTTACATGATGATGCGAAATGATCATTGATATATATAGGTGGTACTAATCACTGTTACTGACAATATTTCTCTGGAACAACAGACTCGGAAGGTTTACCCACCAGCTGATGTTCTTGTCAGTCGTGGACAGGCCAGAACAACTTTAGCCAGGCTGAGGGCTCTTCAAGAAGCAAGTGGTAAGGGGAACTTGATCTTACTTGATTGTAAAACTTAACAAGGGTATCTGAATTAATGACAAAATGTTTTTTCCGAGTGCCAAGACATAATGTATAGAAGAATCTGACTGGAACATTGCTTGTTTTTCATGAAAATATTTTGACTGATTTGCTTAATTCAGTCAGAATATTTCCTTGGATACTGGTCTTCTGTTCATTATCTGAATTCAGTTTTATTTGAAGTTCTATAGTGTCATAATATGTGTTTTTGTTTATCTACATGTAACACTGCTCTTATTTCAAGGCCAAAACATGCACGGCACTCCTTTTCTACCATGATAGTTAAATGATTAAAAATGCTTGGATATAACTTTTCAATACGAGAGCATATTGTGGAGGAATGTTGACATGATGAGCTGAATTAATTTATTTAGCATTTTGATTGGTTCTTTTTGATGATATATTGGAGGGCAAATGCATAGGGGATGTCACCTAGAACAACATTTTGCTTTGTTATCATATAAAACAAACAGATTCCATGTTGCCTATGGTCTTTACGGTAATAAGTCACAGAAGATGTACTATTTCTTTTTACCACATCTTGATGTCATCTCTGAACTATTATGCAACATGGAACATATTCATTAATTAGAACACTAGGCATAGTAAGGATGTTGTAAGTTAAAACCAAGGACTTACTCAATGGAAGAGTGGTTTGCCTTGTGCTTGTTCAGAATTTTTTATAATTGTCATTTTCATTTGCAGTAATTTGATGCTTTTATTTTCTTAACTGAACTAGTGTGTGTTACAAAAACCTCTGAAAGCAAACAAACAATTTCTGTGTTATCATTTTACTTAATTTTCAGAATGCCTACACTCTTCCCAACCTCTTCCTGTACCATTCTGTTATGTTCCATGTCAACAACAGATCCAGCAGTACTTCAATAAGAAATCAAAACTAAAAAAGCAGCCAAGTTCTGTTGTCACATCACCTGTTGATAGAAAGATTTGTTTCTTTGGCTCCCAAGAAGACACAAGAGTTTCTAGCGTGGATCAGACTGGTTCTGAGAGTGTCTGGGGCCATCTGCAGGAGGATAAAATATGGCAGACTGTATTAGAATATTACTATAGTGTGTGTAATGTATCCAGTGACAAGAGATCGCAAACACTGAATGTTTATATCAAGAAACGAGTGAAACAAAAAAGTGAAAAGCAGGAAGGCAAGAAGAGCTTGTCTTATGCTGAGATTGTTCATAAGCTTGGGATTCCTACTGTGAACCCAACGCATACAAAAGTCTTGAAGGAAGAATCTCCAAACACTGAGAAGAACAGAACTGAATTGTGCAAAGTGCCATGTACAATAACTTCCTCTTCTGCTCCAAATGGCAGTAGGTTTTTACAAGGCAGTGGTTCAATGGAGAATTCTTCATGTGACTTGTCTTCAAATTTGTCTCTGAATACTCTACTTATGAATGAGACAAAAGAAGGAAGTGAAATTGATTCATGTCAAACAAGTTGCTGCGATAAACAAGAACAGCCAAGAATTCCAGACAATTGTCAAGCAGAGGAAAACTCATCTTGTAAATCTTGCTCAGAGCAAGATGTCACCGGTCAACCAATCTTATCAAATGAGTGTAGAACTCCTCGTTCAAAACCTGAAGGGAAGATCCCACGGCATTCAAAGGTTCTTATAGAAATGGAGAAAGCTCACATGGCCAGATTATCTGCTTTGCCATCAAGCAGCTGGAACTTCACTCATGACCTTGTTCTTGTGCACTTTTTGTGTGAAGTTCATGAAAAAATGAATCAAGGAAAATGCAAAGTAAGTAATTTTTTTATGGGGCAGTTAACTCTTTTAGCCCAAGTTATCATTTATTTCAGTCATTCTCCTTGCTGTCCAGCATACATTTCTTATGATATTAGTTCAGAGAATTTGGTGTTTGGTCAACTAGTAATCCCCTCATTGATGTTTTTCTCTATTCTCATCCCTTGTTTAGTTGGTATTGCATTGATATTGTAAGGAGAAATTCTGTCTTGGTCACTCATAGAGTGAAAGGGTTAATTGAAAAGGCTTTGCAAGACTTAAAAAAAAAAGTCTTTTTATAGGATTACACAATTACTGGTGAACCAGTAGTTTCCATTGTGGTCCTTGCAAACAAATGAAACAAATGGTCTAAATTGAACATAACATCATTAAGAACCCCAACCGGCCAGAGGCAAACCAGTTGGCTATTTACAAGTGTGGCCAACGATCTGAACTCGGGGCTACCGTGAAACAGATCCAGTGGTCAGGGTGGGACTCGAACCTGGGAGCGGTGGATTACGAGTCTGACACTCTAAGGTCCCTCAGTCATTTAGTTTGACGGTTGGGGAAAGACAGTGCAAATGGACTGTGGTTGGTGACAATTAAAAAGTCAAGAATCACTTGAATCTGATGACAACTTCCATCAATATTTTTCAAAGCATCAGTCATGCTCCTTATCATATCTACAAGAATGAGGGCAAACACAGTATGTGATTAATTGTTATACCTAGGATTAAATCCTTCATTTTATTTAACAGGGTTGGTTCAAAACAGATGGTGTTATTTCAGAACTGTTTTCCAAGTCAAGTGTCATGAACCATCCGCAGCTCTCTTGTTTCTCACCTGAGAGTTTAGCTTACCGGGCCATTGCTCTGTGTAGAGTTGCTCAAATTCTAGACTCAGTATTGTATCTTGTTAGTGGCCCATCTGTTTTAAGAGACCAAAGTTTTTCTTCAAACAAATTCAAGCTCGAATCTTTCGTGGATTCCTCCTTCATGTCATCATGGCTGTTTTTGGAGACAGGTGGAATTCAAAGCCCGGTGTTAGAGGGGAAAGATGTTTTTTCAGAGGGTGGTATGAAGGAAAAGGCTTGTGATGGACTGAATGAAAAGAAGAAGAAAAAACAAGAGGTGAATCTTAAAAAAATTAGTGCCTCACTGGCTTCCCTTGAAAAGTACAAGGAACAACTCAAGGCAGTGAAGAAAAAGGTACAGTGACCATGTTAGTATCTAATTGCTGTAACATTATAGCATTGCTTAAAGAATACTTAACCCTTGACTTCTAAGATCTGATCATTAATTCTCCTCTCTATCTGCTACAAATTTCCTTGTACACTTAGTCTAGTAACGAAAATTATTGGGTGTTAGTTTAAGATAAAACCTTTTTTTAATACCCTCTCCCATTGACGAAGCACCACAATTTCACCAGAAACTCAGCCCCCCTCATTCAATCGCTAAAAAAAAAGATCAGATCCAGTTTAGTTTTGTAGACCTAAATTGTTTGTTTGTTTGTTTGTTTGCTCGACAGATCCATTTTATAGAAGAACAAAAGCAACTAGTTCACAGCATCAGAGAGCAGGAGCTATCTCCGGAAACATCTGTTGACTTGGATGGTGTCGATGTGAAGCTACAGCGAAATGAACTGTTACTGAAACAGCAGAAACAAGAACATTACAGAGGAAAGTTGCTGGCTTTGTTAAGGAAACTGAAGGAGGAGGAAAAACAGTTGGCTAAGGTTTGGAAGTAGTTTATCGCTTTAACTGATAACTACAATAACACTTTTTTCAACTTGTGACGTAAGACCAAACCAAGTACTCACGACGACCAATCAGAACAAACATTTGCATCTGATTGGTCGAGAAGGTGGCGCGTGTTTTCTGGACCAATCACAGAGCATAGAAAAGCAAAACCAGTTCAATCGCAGGTCACTTTCGACACTCCATTGAAAAATGCTTTTGCAGGCAGAACTTTACAGGGGCACTTTTTGATTGACTCTCTCAAAACCAAAGTAATTACAAGGAAATTTGGTATATCAACTAAGTTGAAATAGTAAATTGGCCACCGGAAAGAGTTAAATAGCTGACGTTTCGAGCGTTAGCCCTTCGTCACAGCGAATGACAAAGGGCTAACGCTCGAAACGTCAGCTTTTTAATTCTTTACGGTGGCCAATTTACAATTTCAACTTAGTTGATAGAACCAAATTACCTTGTTACCCCCACCGACGCAGCACCATAGTTTCTTTAGAAACTTTCACCCTTTAATTACAAGGAAAAACTGACGAGCAAATTTCCTGAAGGGCAGGGAAACACGGACGACCAAATAGTGATTGGTTTTATTTCGAATCTGATTGGCTGAGAGAGTGGTGCAAGTTTTCTGGACCAATCAGAGAGTGATCACAATCGTTCAAATGAAATAAGCTCTATAGCAACCGTTGACGCTCAAAGTCACCAACAATTGTTTTTTTGTTTTTTTCAATTGTTCTCAAGTAAAACCTTCTGAGCCTTGCAATTGTTACTTTATTACAGAAGATAGAGTGTGCTTCAGAAGTTTCAAAGGAGGAACTGATTGATGTTCAACAGAAAAGTTCCTCCTCTTCGCTGCAGCCAGATGCCAAGCACCACCAGCTACCTGTGGAACCATGTCAGAAATGGAGTGTTCGCCTGACGAACCAGGAAACTGACAGCAGTAATTCAGTCCGCTATGACTTGCCATCCTTGTTACCAAAACTGCGGTTCTTGTTGCCTCTTTGTAATCAGCGATGGCGTCTGGTTCAAGAGCTGTTGCACACGACAGAACTTTCCGCGCCTGATTACATGCCCGTGATATTGGTGGATAGGAGAGTGCCGCTGAACGAGCGTCATGCTGACTTAAGAAGCAGTGTTTTCCAGCAGGTGTACCAAGAGCTGAGAGGCGAGAAGCTTCATTTTCGGTCAGTAACGACGTTTACGTTTAGATAATTTGTTTTGTATACTCTGGTTTATCTACCTCCTTTTCTCCTTCATGGCTTATCGTGACGTTCAAGGCGAGAAAGAGTTGGTTTGAGTTCATTCGAATCTCATTACAAATTTGACACTAACTTTTAAGCGTTTTAAAATAGGTAGTGGAAAGCGGACAAATTTTGGGAAGACATGGATGGTGCTGTAGCTCCAAAATGTCTCTGCTTTCCAGTGCCTATCGTTGACAAGCACGATAAACGACTAAATCGTACCAAAGGAAATGGGAAACGTACATTTGAGATGAAAAATTATGTAAGCGATTTATGAAAATCAAGGTTTTTCGCTGCCACAAGCTTTGATTGACCCCTAAGAGTGACTAGTATCTAATTTCTCCTTCCCCCTCCCCCCACGTTCCTCAACTCTTTGACCCCTAAGAGTGACTAGCATCTAATTTCTCCTGACCCCCTCCCCCCATGTTCCTCAACTCCTTGACCCCGAAGAGTGACTAGCATCTAATTTCTCCTGACCCTCTCCCCCCATGTTCCTTAACTCCTTGACCCCTAAGAGTGACTAGCATCTAATCTCTGCTGACCCCCTCCCCCATGTTCCTCAACTCTTTGACCCCTAAGAGTGACTAGCATCTAATTTCTCCTGACCCCCTCCCCCATGTTCCTCAACTCCTTGACCCCTAAGAGTGACTAGCATCTAATTTCTCCCGACCCTCTCCCCCCATGTTCCTCAACTCCTTGACCCCTAAGAGTGACTAGCATCTCAATTCTCCTTACAATATCACCCTTGAATCATACATTAAGGTCAGGAGAATATAGGTAATGATCGACAACTGAAGAAACCATTAATTGTTAAACAAGTCAGCAGCTTAGGTAATGAATGGAGAACAGTATGGAGAATGTGCATACTGATGTAACAGTAAGGGTATTAAAGGTTAGCCTCTGGGTTGGAGGAAGAAGACTTCTAAATTCTGACCCTTAGCAATTTGAGATGATTGGATTGTATGCTTTTCCTTTTAAAATAAAATATCTTTGGGCCAACTTACAGATTTGACCAAGCTTACAGAGGGTCATCAACGCGAAAATAATACGAGGAACAGACAATGCACTATAGTTGTGTTCATAAACATTATGCAGTTGCCATTTATTGCAGATGGAACAAGTGGAAGTATGACCAGTGGTGGGAAGTGAAATTCCTCGGTGAAGGAATCATTGATCAGGGTGGTGGCTTCCGCGACTCTTTGGCTGAGTTATCCGACGAGTTGTGTCCACCTGAAGAACACATACCGGACGTGCTGCCGTATTTGATCAGAACTCCTAATAGCAAGGTACATGGCGTTAGTGTGGTACAGGTTTTTGTCGAGTTTTCTTTAAGCAGGAAAAGGAGCTGGCATGTCCCCCACACTAGAACAATGCTGTTTGCTGTACGAGTTGACGCTAATATAATCAGTGAGAAAGAAAAAGGAACAGCCTGCTCAAAATCTACGCCCCGTGTGCCAATTCGTTCTGACCGCATTTTGACGTCATTTTTCATCTGTTGATGAACCGACAAACGGCAACGCGGCATCTATGTATTAGATATACGGGGTCTGCGTCTATGACTTTTTCTAAGAGCCATTTTACATTTAAGATGGAATTGTCATGATATGTTTTGTATGTCTGTCTCTACCCAGGAGAAGAGGGGAGATTTATTAGACTGTTTCATACCCAATCCATCTTGTGACTCACTGCACATGTTCCACTGGCTGGGGGTCCTCATGGGAGGTACGTTCCGCAGTGATGAAAGCCTCACTGTGGCGTTCCCGCCTTTTGTATGGAAACTGATCGTCGGCGAGCACGTCACGTGGGCCAAAGACTACGTGGCTATTGATGAAGCCGCTGTTCAAATCACTGGTGAGACATGAGAGATTGTTGTATAGCAATTTGTCAAGTTCTGTTATTCTTTTCTTTCCTTCAGGGAAGCAGAATAGCGCCGTAGTGGGAGCATTCGGTTCAAACCAATGCGACTTGCGCACAAACGCTAGACATGGGAATCAAGTCTGTTTTAGGTTCTGTTTTTTTTTTTTTTTTTTTTTTCTCCCAGTGTTATCTGTAAGTTTTCCATTTTTTCCTTCCTTGAGAAGTGCTTTGTAGATTAGATTTCGCCCCTTTCTGAAAAAAAATTAGTGTTTGATTTCTCCTCACAATATCACACACGAATCAAACGTCAGGGTCGCGAGAATAAAGGAAACGAACACCAACAAACGAAGCACTTGATTGTTTAGCAAATCTTCCCTGTCAGCACCTGAGGAAATATTTTAATAATAAAATAATAATAATAATAATAATAATAATAATAATAATAATAATAATAATAATAGAATATGCGTACCAATGTTAAGGTGTAAAAGGTTAAATATTCCTGCCTTTCCACAAACTGCAAATTGCATGCGCGGTTTCTTATTCCGAGCACCAGCAAACTTGATTTTTATCCTCTAGCTTTAGGTTTAAGGCTTAGAAGAATTAACACACTGGGGGCTCGAATGTAACGAATTTGTAGGGCTCATTTCCACGGGCTTTCTAGAGGAAATGACATGAAGGAACGGG